CTATGGATAACTTTTTGTAGGTTTGAATCTCTCTCTGCATGGTACATCTAAGTGGGTATTACATATTATCTTGTATGACTGTGGTGTGAATCTCATTGGTTTTCTTTGTCCATCATTGCTTTTGCCCTTTATCAGAACTGTAGAATGATTTGTATTTAAGCTATTCATTCGTTGGGTTTCTTCTAGTGTATTTTAGAGGTACTATAGACCTACAAGACTTGTAGGCCTCTTGGAATTGTATGTGATAAGCTGTTTTTTGTATGTATTTTAGAAGATGCGTGAACTGGTTGCATATAACAAGGTAGTGACCCTCTACTGGGGTGTTCTGATTGGTTTTACACCTCGTGGCGACCCTGTAAGACTAAAAGCCACAAACTGAGTAGTTATTTTTAATATTTCAAATGTAATTTTCACAGTTAAGGTTAATGCCTTTTGCATCTACATAGCGCAGAGCACATTCAGGCTAATCGAAACTGAAAAAATGAGTGTCAGAATGCACTGTTGACCTTCTGATTGTTCAATATTTAGTAAAGGTAATATTCCTTGCTATACATTCATGAAATATAACCGTTTGAGAGGAGATAATATGCTCAAACCATAAATATATGACTACTAGTTCTTAAGAAGGACTGTATGTGTGTGTATGTGTCATAAGGAAGCTCCGTTATCATCTAAGTTAGGTCTAAATTGTTAGATATTGACGTAAATTGATCTATGAGTTCGTTAAATATGAGTGTCCTGGTATTTTTTTTCGAAATCTATAAGCAAGCACAATACAATGCATTCCAACCTATCATTCTTATTGGAGCACCATTGCATTGGGATATTTTCTGTTGTGATAAGAGGAGATGAGGTGTAGCCTCATTTCATAGATACCGTGTGATTTTCAGTGTGTCTCATTGGTCTAAGCACTCAACTTTCACCCAGTGGATCACAAGTTCAGACCCCGCTCGACCTACCGAGGTTTGGGCCGTCAGGTAGTGCCGCTAGCACTTACGCTATATGTGTGGTTCGTTGCCTAGTGCGGTAACGTGCATGCCATCAGTGTTTCGTTTTTCAATTTAGTTACGTTATGACACATTAAGCTTTCAAAAATCGTATGTATGTGTGTTTAACGCTTGAAATTGTCCCATGTTAACTAAAGTGAAACTGTACATCGTTGGATTAGGTACTTGACTTTCAATCAGCAGTTCAAGAGTGTGAAGGTGATTACCAGACTAATAGCTGTTATCTTGACTTGGAGCTGTGACTTATTGGTTTAGGCGCTCAACTTTGAGCTAATCAGTCGCGTCCTCAAAGCATCTACCAAGGTCTGGACACCCTGGTAGCGTCACTAATTCTCACAATAAATTTTGCTCATTTGCTGATTTACAAACAGGTATGTGGTTGCTGAGTTACATCTCGTTGGTACTTCTTACCTTGACATGCTATTCGGTTTCGTATATCACGATGGTCTAGCGCCCTTTATCGTCGTAGTGTAAAACGTTAGCGCTATGATGAGGTTATCAGGGCGTTATCCTACTGCTGGAGGGACGGGATTTGACAGCTGAATTTCAGTATTATCTCATTCTTCCTTTCCCTCCTTTGATGGCTTTCTACCACTTTTGACTGCTTCTTCCTTTATGTTTCATCTTCCTGCATTCTCACGTGATATGATGACATAAAATGGGGTAGTTTGAACTGTTATGCAGTAATGCCAGGTCCTATGTTGATCTTATCTGCCTGTCTTTCTTAAAGTACACAGATGACATAATCCCACTAAGTGAAGATTCAAAGACTTCTGAACGCAGTGAGTAGCAATTTAAGAATGTTCGGGATGTTGTTTTGACCGTCTAGTTGCGAATTGTTACTTCAGGATTAGTCGAAATTGGTGCCTCATCTGACAGTAGGGGGGAGTAAAGGGATTGAATACGTCAATCACTTCACTCCAGAAGTCAGATCAGCCCGGAGAGATCAATAACTGGCGAAATCTCAGTACGGGTACATACAGCCTGATGGACTTTCGCCAACCTACGCCATTTACTATACAGGTGAGATATCTAGGCGTCTAATTAAGACGAAGTGTACTGTACAGTGAATCACTCAATCATACTCCATGGCTGTAAAACATAGCTACTGAAGTCAGAGGATAGGCGAAAGCTTCAAATGTCCGACCACTGTTGACTTCGTACCATCACCTGTCTATCATGCGACCGCCATGATAGCAACACAGAGATCAGGCGTAGAGTTATATTCTAAAAGTGCAGATCAGTTGACGAGATTGTAAAGGTTCATCGACTCACCTGGCTACTACAGATTTACTCACCTACCCCGATGAACAATGTTAACTGGATTAACTTTAGATTAGGAAAAGATAAGTGGCAGCAGAAATAAAACGCGGTATCAGTTCAGGAAGTCTTTGACTGTTTCCCAGGGTAGTGTAGGGAAATGAAAACTTCCTCCATGGATCTGCATGGCCACTGAAATCGGTGGTTAGAGACTCTGAGCCCAATTGGCTTTATCTTATTCGCTATATGACATTCGTTATCTCTCTTACACTCATTTCTTTCTTCTTATGACTTACGGCTTTCGATTACATTTCTCTGCCTTTTTTCTATCTTCTATCTTACTGCTTTGTGTGAGGTGTAGCGAATTAAATCGTTACGCAGCATTACCAACTCCTTTGTTGATATCGACTAACTGACACCTAAACTTCAGTTCACTTAAGTTTGATCGGTCAGTTAGTCCCACAGTCCTCACCATGCATTTTGTTCATTTCGTAGTATCTAAATCTTTGCTTACTGTTGAGTTGCGTTTCCTTTGAATCAAGATATAAAAATCGCTGTTTTCAAGTGAGACGAAAGTAATACTAACATTGAATATCTCTCTATCTTGCTGTTCTGAACTAGGGCTTATTTGTAGAGGCCGAAATTTTTAAACGACTACCAAACTGACCACCAGTTTGGGTTAACTGGTAATATCTGAAGAAGCAAGCATATATGCATATTACTGATTGGTGTGAATAATTCTCGATTACTGATACCACTCTGCGGAATATTTCTTGTCATTCTTCGGCTAAATTTCGCCATGTCATTCTTGGTATCCAACACCGTGCTGTTTGCGGTTTGCACATTTCAGTTTCCACAAGAAGCTACAATTCAGTTACATTTAACTGTGTCATTTTGCACGGTGAACGAAAAATCTTACGATTTTTTTGTTGAATGACTGAATAAATTCGAACGAAGCTCTTTTTATCATGTTACATAGCCACTAAATTTTCTTAACGATCATCACTTCTTAGTGAGTTGTGACTCCTCAGCTCACCATGAATCTGCATTACCATATTAAGCATACATGGCAAAGTGACACTAGTTTTAGTATTTTTGACTTGATTAGTTTTACCAGTTTCATTTCAGATTAACATTGCTACTTTTTCTAGTGATTTTTTTAATAAAAGACTACTTTGTAGTTTACATTATGCAAGCACTGGTAATGCGTAAGGAGTGATAACAAATAGATTTCAGAATTTACTCAAGCTGGTGAAAAACCTAATGATTCGACGTCCGTAGTCACTATTTTGCTTCCTACCGGATAAACATTATCGTGTAACGAGAGTTTTAGTCATCGACAGCAGGCTCCAAATTTTCTACACAACAATCCAACTATATCTACAGATAATCATAAAATAATGATAATCATAAAGTTGGAACCAAATGAATACCCTGGTTTATCTCGTACATAATCTTTCCGATCAACCTAAACACAGTCCAACTGACTTGTATTTACTTGGATATTGTCCTTCGCTTTCTTAATACACACCCATACACTGATAGATAGGTTGTAAATATGTGTGCACGATTAGTGTATCGCCTCCCTGCCCTTGTTTAATTTACAATTTTGTTTTCGTTTCGCTTTGGTCAATATCTTGTTCTACTTAAAGCTTGTTATATGACTGTGTAAAATATATCAGTTCCATTCGTGCTACCTTTGTCTCCCTCTAAAGCGAATCGTATGTTAAATGTGTTATTTTGGAGGCATAGAATATATATATATATATATATATATATATATATATATATATATATATAACTTGATCCTGTTCCATTTTGATCGTACAACTTTGTTATTAACTATTTTACGGTAGTTTTCATCATGGACTGACATCAGTTGGAGAACCATTGAAAATGTGGGAGTACTTGACTGCTGTTTCGTCCTAGTACGGATTCCTCGGAAGTATGCACCCGCAGAATTAAAATTCCCCTTAACCTCGAAATACATTGCTGCAAAGTACTCATCAGTGACTTGCTTCCAGGTGGATACTCTGGAATTCTAATGACAAGCCGTGACTTTGGGAGTCAAGCATCATCATCGTCAATATCAACATAGGACCAGGCATTACTGCGTAACAGTCCGAGTTGCCACACATATCAGTACATCAAGTAAAAAGACAGTGAAGTGAAAGATGATAAGAAAATTCAGTCAGAAGAAATATAAAGTACAAAAAGAGAGAAAGGAAGAATGAGAAAATGGTGAGATTCGATATAGAGTCGTTAAGTTGTGAGGATAATGTGTGTATACATCTGCGCCACTGACGTTGGTTCTCAGCCATATCACCTAGAGTCTCCAACCACTGGTCCCTCTTATTCCGCGGACCCCAACCGGAGTCAAGCAGTCGGAAGTGAAGCAGATGCCAACCGAAGACGTTGTATGATAGTTACGCTATATCGCAAATTGATAGAAGTAGGAGACTGCTGACCATTGAATACCGACTCAGTGGCTGAATGGTTAACGCCTTCGCTGTGAAACATGGAGATCCTGAGTTCGATCCCTAGCCAGGTCGTGGGTGCGCACTGCTTCGGAGTTCCATACTACGATGAGACAACTGTCCAGTACTCCCAAGTTCTCAGTGCATCTCCAGTTGATGTCAGTCTGTGATGAATACTACCTTAAAAAGTATGTATGTATATACATATATATATACCACTTCTGGAACTGTATTTTCATATACGTTTCCTTTCCAGTGCATCGGGAACTGTTCGACTTGGTCGAAACAAAAGAAACGGACAAATTGTAGCCATTAAAGTAATGAAGTTAGATAAACAGCCGAATCGTGATTTAATTATCTCAGAGATTGCTGTTATGAAACGTATACGGCACGAGAATATTGTCAACTACCTAGAATCGTATCTACTAAGAAATGAAAATCAACTATGGGTTGTTATGGAATACCTGGATGGTGGTGCATTGACCGATGTCGTCACTGAAACTGTCATGTCTACAGATGTGATTGCTGCTGTTGTTCGAGAATGTGTAAAAGCATTGGTATTTTTACATGATCAAAATATCATACATAGGTATGCTATATCATTGTAAATCTCATATACGTTTGCTTTGTTATTTTGTCGTTCTATACTGTGATGGGGATTGTATGTCTGTCACGTGGATAACATTTTGTTGCTTTACTACTATAAATATTACTATAATTCACCTTTAGAAAAGATTAGGCATACCTTATATTAACGGTAATTTTTCAAAAAAAGTTCAAATTTCAATTGAATTGTTACAACATGAGAAATACAGTGATAATGAACAACAGTTATGCATACTAGAGAATTTTTTTTTTCATTATTTTCTCAACTGATCGATTTAATTTGCTGAAGTTTCTACTTTGTCTCTTTGATTTAACTCTATATAGAAGAGATACGTCTGTTAATTCTCCTACTTCTCTGCGTATACTTTTAAAAAAGAAATTGGATGTCTTGTGCACAAGGCCATTTTATTGTATAGATTATTAGTGTTTTATGCATGTATATGCACTTATACTACTTATGGAGTCAAATGATGCATTCTTGACTTGAATTGTAGTGATCACTTGTTTAACTAGTATGTTTCAGGTGGTATTACTACTCATGTTTGTATTGTTCTTATTCTGCTCTGAGCTTGACTTTTCACTACCGAATTTAGGGACTTTTGATGTTGGTGGACTGAATTAATCTTTAACGATGGATAGTAGTTAGCAGTAGAATCCAGGACACGTGTTTCGTCCTATTTAGGACTCGTCAGGCGGATATACCTGAATCCCAGTGAGCTGTTTTTCCCACTAAGATTTGAACTCGGGACGGATTGTTTCATACTCCAAGGCGTTATCCACTAGACCATCAAGCCACGATAGCCACTTCTTGTGTGACGGGTATAGTTTTAATGTTGTCGCTTCTGTATCGAAGCATCCACGTAAGAGCTCACATGCCAGTAGAGACTGATCTATTCAGTCCACTCAACTATGGAATAATACAAGCAACAATATTAAATTAATCTTTGTTCGTGATTGTGCTGATCATCGCCAAAATGTATGAATTGATCGTGCAATGTGACTGGGAACCACTTACTTCAAGGGGTGGATTACATTTGTTAATTTTCACCAATTGGTGGCATACTTCGGCTAAACAATTGGGTTGTATCTTACGGTTTTATCCTCTTAAAATAAATGGCGAATTGAACAACCCTTGTACTTGTTAAACCTTCGAGGAAGAAACTAAATTGAATCATCTCATTTGCCTCCTACTCGGATTAAGTTATCCTGTTTACTTATTCACTCTCACTTAGTAAATGTATGAAAGAGATTTCTTCTTCTATCGAGAAAGTATAAAAGAAGGACAATATAAGTTCTGTATCTGAATGCATCCCCATGTCTTGTCTTCTTTATACAGTGGTGGTAAGAAGATTGAAGAAATACAGTTAAGTAGTGGGTTAAATCTTAAATATGGGACTTTGATATCAGCAGAGTACAGTGTATACATTATTCTGTTGGGTGGAAGTCAATAAATGTAATCATCGATCATTTATACACATTGCCTCTCGATTGTTGAACTAAATGTCATAATATTTCCGTTTTTAATTGTTTAGATTCAAGGTCATATATTCGTCGAAATTCATTTCTTGTACATCTTTCATTCATTCATTTAAAATTGTCTAAACTCATGATTTAAATTACTATTCCATCAGTATGCTGTATACGGTGAATAACACCTCGTTTTTACTGTCTTTAGTTATTATCTTGATAGTTACATTGAACATTCAAGTTACCGGTAAACAAATACTACACCACTTGCTCATATTCCTAACAATTCACTTACAAATTCTCTCATAAGGCAGTAACAATGAAGAAAAAAAATCATCTTTCCAATGATGTCACTTACTAAGCTGTAAATTCGTGAATATATGTTACGGTGGGTAGAACATTCCAGGATTATTACCTGTCGGGAGTCAAAATTCAATAACAACAGGAAGTTAATTTATAAAAATGAGAGTTTAAAGTAGGAAAATAAACAAGGGATTAAGAAAATAAAAAGTATGGTGACATAATACAGGATAAATCTATGACAGTCAAGGTCTTATGGTAACCACGGCAAAGAAAAATGTTAAGTATACCTTTTTTGAACTTCTGAATGGCTGTTTCTTCGACTATACCCAAATAACTTGGTCTTACTCCCTTCAAGTGGTTTGATCAAGCCGTGTAGAGAATTTTGGATGACTTCTCAAAAGGAGCTTAGTGGCCTGAGTTCACAAAGTGTTCAGTTATTGAGCTAAAGACACATCTCCGTTCTCCCTTTTCCAGCTAGGCTGGTTAGGGTTCACAGGCACGTTTTACAAGTGGACACACTTTAACGTATATTCAAGAATGCACAGCTTAGTAAAAGGCTTCATCGGAAAGAAAACGTTTCCTTCGCTTCAACCGCCTTTTTGTCTTTTCTTATGATTGAATTTCCACATGTTTCACCATAAGTGATATGTTTCACATAACGTAATTTTATCTGCTGCAAAAGATTATCATCATCTTTAAAATTGGACTACAACAACAGGGAAACTATAGAAAGACATATTTGTGAGAGTGTAGGTAATCGGAGCTATATTTTTCATTTCTGAATAGCTGTGGATGCTATCATAGAATTCCATTTTGATATATTTTTCGAGGAAACATAACTACCCCTTAAAGTAGTATTGAAACATTTTATCTCTTTTATAATACTTTCACAGGGATATAAAGTCAGACAATGTCTTACTTGGCAAACAAGGTCATGTTAAGGTCACTGACTTTGGATTTTGTGCTCAACTTGGCAATCGTCAAAGTAAACGTCAGACAATGGTTGGCACTCCTTATTGGATGGCTCCTGAAGTCGTTTCAAAAACTGCAAATTATGGGCCTAAAATTGATATCTGGTCACTTGGAATCATGATTATTGAGATGTTGGATGGAGAACCACCGTACATGAATGAACCACCACTTAAGGTAAATTCATATTTTGAACTTCTTATTTTCCGCAAAATTCATTTGGTAGTTAGTGTTTATCCATTAGGTAGTAGTACATCAGGATTACGCTACTCACGGATTTAGAATTTTTTGACAAATGGACTGTGATATATGTGAGTAAACGGCACTGGAATGGTTGTTTATGAATTCCAGCTCAAGTGTATTCTGATGTTCAGCGAAGGAAATCCTTTTCAAAGACTCATTTCCGAAAGTTGTACAGTCGTACACAAGTACATAATTGTTTGGTGTTCTCTTAGCTCTGAGGTTTGTTCTCGGACGTTTCATTACTGTGTAAGGTGACTTAAACAGCATATACTTCATAAATAAGCCCACGATGAAATTCTAATATTTACCATCGTTAAGCTTTTGAAAATAAGCCATTGGAAAAGACTTTCCTCGCTTAACTGTTTGTTGTATGGGTGTATTAAGTCTAATGTTCTGATGTACACACAAATGACGTGATATATTGGAGGGTTGAATACATCCACCCGTCACACGACCGTACGTTTATAACCCCCACATGGTGCGTCCTATTCACTACGTCGAGGGGGTGATGGTATTTCTAGTTGTGATAAAGTGTATGTCCAACGCTTGTCACCACCAACCATGGGAATGTACCATATGACGTCTCTCCACTCCCTCTGTGATTAAACTTCAAATCAGAGGCTTGAGGAGTGGTTTTTTAGGACAACCACCAGCTTCGGTGTGAGCATCTGGGTGATTTTTCAGTCCCTAGAAAATCCATTATAGCTCAGCCCCTCAACTAAAACGGGAGAATGCTTTCACTTTCTTAATCCGCTCTTTACCAAGTCTCTGGAAATTAGACCAAATTATTCAAATTATTTTACTGTTTTTATTGTTGTGCATTTATCATTTCTGTTTTTGTGGTTCTTACCTTTATCTGCATTGTGATATCACTCGATTGCTTTTCGTTGTTTGAAATTCTGGTCTGCCTCTATTATTTGGAGCCACTGGACAGTTGCTTCCACAAAGCTCTCTTTCAGTGAGATATCCGACTCACCTCTTTTGAAACCATACCTCCAAAATCCAGACATCGATTCAGGTCGGACAACATACCGGTTTACCTAGGATTTTGGAAAGTAATACAGTTGATGTATACTGGAACCTAGGGACCCAAAATAATACGCTGGCGAGATCCTTAGAATAATTTCCTCATCTGCCATCATGAAGTCTGTTCATTTTACGTCTATCCGTGGACGATATGATGACCATTAACACTCCATCTTACTCTGTTGCATTGAGTTTTAAAACGGAAGCCACACTGACTGACCAGATCTGCATTAACAGTCTCTTAGGTGCTGTCACGCTGGAAGATTCGATTAGACTGAGCAGCACCTGATGAGGGGAACGCTGTCTATTGGTTATCCTCTACCTTATACTCTAATGGACCGCCACCCGGATATAGCTTGGGATAGTCTCTATCATCAGCTGATTAACCTCAATAAAGTATGCGTGGTAGATGTCGTTCTCTCTGGGGACTTGATCGCGCAGGATTCTTAGACCTGGAAGAATGTCGTTTAGTTGGTCGATGAGGACTTGGTCATAGATCAGAGAGCGGAAGCCGTCTTCTACAACCTTGTGCAGATCAAAACCTATCTATGACCAGTACCCAATTTCGCCTTTAATCCTGAACTCAGATTACTTTGCAGTCAGCTACTAGTGACTCGTATGTTCAGGATGTCCATTTCTTCTTTAGTATCTATTTGGAATTTGATCACACCTAAGTTTGTATTGAATTTATGTAGTATTTTGGTAGTTTTCAAAATCGTCGTCCTAAGTAGGGTGACGTAAGCCTATCGGTTGCACCCAGTACTGCAACTGAATACCAACTCGACCTTGGGTCAAGGCTACATGTCAGATCCCCGCAAAGTAAAGATGAACGTTGGTTGCATGTGTAAGGTGCCATTAAAATGGTGAGTGGTGCTGCTTGCTGCCCAAAAGAATGTCATGTTAATAAGTAAGGAGTCTTTCTGGATTCATCTTAGTCTCTTGATGTTTATCGGCACATTCTGGAGGATAGCGAGTACTACGCCTTATCCTTTCACAAGACAAATCTTAGAGCATTTACATAGGAACTTAAAGGTTTCGTGGTCAGAATGCGCGAACGAGATGGTCGGAAGTTGTCCCAGCTTATCCGAACCACTGGTAGAAAGAAGCTTGGTGTCAGTGAGACAGTACAGGAAGGTGGTAACCGAACAACAGTCTTAGAAGACTTTGGAAACTGGTTGGATTATTTTGGAAAATTTAGCTGACGCACTATGCTAGTAACATTGACTCTAGTGTCTTGTACTCCATGTTCAACTAACACCAACCAAGTGGACGAATCGGAGGTTCACAAGGAACTGCAAGTACTAAAAACCCACAAGACATTCTGCTCAAACTACTCACCACAGGCTGTTTTCAAAGATAGAGTTGAGGCTGGTCAGTGAACTGATTAGTTTTTTCAAGGTGTGGTCTATTGCTATCAAGGTCTTTGCTGTGTCCATCTTTAAAAAGATGTTAAACATTGTATATGATTGTCATCACGGTATCAGTCTGGTTTGCTAGGCACGTGAAAAGCTGATTCGCGAGAAGCATGTCGGGGTTCGTTGAGTTTATTGACATTTAAAAACTGTCACATTTGTCGCAGGCTAACAACTGCTATTTCTTGATATTAGGACTGTTTTCGAATTGTTTGACATGACTGTATTCTGGAATTATCTGTTGGAGAAGTGTTAACATTTTCAGGGATCTAGACAAAAACAAGAGGCAAAAGGAAGGCGTAAAAACATCACTCTCCACTGTTTCAAATAAGCAGGTTAGGCAGTGCTTACTGCCTGTAACATTTTTCACCCAGCATTGTACGATGATACAGATGGTGTTCCAATATAAAGCCTTCGACTGAGTGATTTTTTTACCCGATATCTCTGTCACCGAGGGATAGCCATATAATCTCTCGATCAACAGAGTCGAATACCCCCACGAGTTAAGAGGTACAGCCAGTGTCGGGTGCCAGTCTTTGTTCAAAGACCTGACGAAGAATGAGACGGGAACTGGGCTCTCTTGCGTTTGCTGTTCCCTAGCTTTGCTTAGATGTCAAATGATTATAGGACCTAGGGTCTAAAACAGTATCCTCGTGAAGCATCCTCCTCTGGTAATGCCACGAGAATTTATCTTCTTGAAGACTGGGGCAATTAGCGGTTGAAAAGAAACAAAGAATCACGTTCGATTCCCACACACCAGGTAACCAACAATTATCGATATTCTTAAGTAACTATGATGTGAGCTCATTGAGACTTCGCCCTTCCTTATTTCAGGTTACTTACGATCGTTGCGATTTCCATAAAAGCTAGCGGGCTTGCCTGTGTTCCACTTAGAATGCAAGTGATTATCGGGAAACTGAAGACTATCCGAAGACTAGTTGAACTTGATCCTTGGAGTGTCCCGTCTATCGTTCCAGTCGCGTGTACTGAGTGGACCACAGGCCCATCTTTCTGTGCGCTGTTCTCACTAACCCTCGACGTCTTCTCTCTTGGTTCCTTCATAAGTTTACGCAACTGCACACTCTTACCTGCAACCACTGTCTTTCCTATTTCCTTAGTCTTCTCTGCCCGTCGCGGTCACTGTATAGACACTTTATCAACCTATATTTGAGTTGCTCCTGCTCTTTTTTGCGCTCCAAGCCTGCAGCTATTAATTCTGTAGAAGGTGCTGAGACCCAATGATCCTCTCTAATCTTTTTATCAGGTCTACTTTCAGTCTTTGACATTAGTTGCAGCACACACTAGACAAAGTTGTAGGTTTCTAAATGAGTAACTTTTTTTCTGTTCAGATAAGTGTTAAGCCAGTTTCTCGTAGAAAGCTGCTTTAACATCTTCACTATCAGGGTGAACTTGAAATGGTTAACCAACCGTACTTTTCCTACGGTCATTTTTAATGATTATCTCCGGGACGTTGTTCACATGCGTACTGGAATCACATCAAAATCCTGTACTTAGAACTCAGAGGAAGAGATGCTATTAAACGGAAGTTTAAAGCAAATGATGTAGGTTCACTCAGCTTTCGTCGACTTATATTACTTAAGAAAACATAGCAGGTGTTACAATTTTGCTTTCTGTGTAGCTATGTGGTTATTGAAAGTATGCGAAATCTAGGACAATGCAGATTATCGCTTCATCTTTAATACGCCGAATACACCTGGTGTAATTCACTAAATGTGCATTCACAATATGGGATTACGACTAAAATGCAGTAGTTAGGCCGAAATCTATAGTTATGAAGATTGACTAAGGTTGAGATACCTGAGGCATACGTTGCGCATACCGCAACTGAGTTTTCTTCAGTCTCAGGTTAATGAGTTTCAAATCTAGTTAGTGGATTGAGTTTTCATGATTTGATACGTTTAAAACGTTTTCTAGCCTTCAGCCTTACATTCTGAACTTCATTTTGTATTGCACAGGCTATATACCTTATACAAACTATGGGAAAGCCAAAACCTAAAACCAAGAACTTGCACCCAATGCTTCAAGACTTCTTGGACAGATGCTTAGTTGTCGATCCTCTCAGACGTGCCTCTGCAAGTGAACTGCTTAATCACGAATTCTTCAAGCATGCAGGTAGTTTATCTTCTCTTGGACCACTAATTCGGGCTGCACGCGAGAGCTTGGGAAAGAAGGCATAACAAGGACAGTTCTCGGAACGCTTAGCACAAACACATGACGGAGTAGTGTCAGACCATGGAGATCAGGAAGTTTTTTATACACACTTGTTTCGCTGTGACCAGTTTCACAGAAAAACCAACATACGAAACCACTTAACTGAATTGCTCGATTTTTACATGTTTGAATCTCTTTCACATCGATATTTTGTATGCTTTGATTCATTTTTTATTTTATTTGTTATATATTCGATTGCCCAACTTAAAATCGTAACCTAGATTAGTCCATTATCAATTGCAAGATACTGACTGGTGCTTTTTACTATTTCAATCAAGTCTTTCTGCTGCTTCACACACTTGTATCGTGTTACGTGACCACTTGATATAATGGTGGAGCAGTTTCCCGCGATTTTTCAAATGATCTTTGCTCTGTAACCTGTTCACATACTATAATATATCTTCAGTAATTTTTCTTTCACAACGTACTTATCACGCTGTAGAGAAGACAAACATTAAGAACAAAAACAGCGATATTTTTGAAGAATATTTTATATGGAATTTATGCATCAGCTATCATATTTGTATCAACTACGTTAAGCTGAGTAAAACACAAATCAGTTATATATCTGCACAATAAGGAATCATTTCGATAATGAAAATAAGTGTTGGCATGAATACCTGGGCTTCGGAGTCAAGAAAAATACATATCGACAAGTTTGAAGTTGAACCACGGTCTATCACAGTTGTGTTTCCTTACAATTGGACAGCAATTCAAGTATCTTCCAGAAGCATAGGCTGAAATGAAAGTAAAGTATATATGACTAGGTATGTCGTTGAGTTAGAAACTAACTGGTATGCAGCTCACTTTATTATGGATAAAACTGAGTTACTTAGTCATACGAAACTTACACTATTTCGGTCGGTACTCATGTTGTTTCCCCGAATGCCTCTTTGGTATCGCCAAGTCATGTGTCCCAAACTAGGCACAGCAGTACAGTACAGGATTTCTGTTCAAAGAAAATGAAGGGATCATAAAGTGTCACATTATGCTCTATGTGTGCCCTTGTAATGAATAAAAACCATAGTGCAGTATGCAAAGCATGGCAACTTACTGTAACACAACAGTGCCCAGATGGAGGCTTGTTTTCCTGATAGGACCGTTAGCCCCACCTGATAAGCTGAGTGTCATTGGTATTGCAACAAAATATCAGGTAGATACTGACTTTATATTCAGTAGAAAAAGTAAGGTATTGATGGCACTAACGATATGTGACGAGAATGAATGAAATTGGTGTTTGTGGCGTCGAGAACACTTAAGCAATAAAGTAGTTGGCTTCTTACTTTTTATTTCCCGATCTGTATATTCCGATGGTTGGCATGTGTAGTGATGCCCTGAAATCCTGTGAATACTACGATCTGACACAACCCGCCCATGAGAATAGAGCAGTAGCTACACTAGGAGACTCAGGAATTGCCCTGCTTCGTCTAATCAGCTAACAAGAAGCCGTTAGTAGTAGTCTGCAATGCATGAAACACCTATTAGACGTGTAACTGAGTTGCATAATACATGCTGTATGCCATAAACTATAAGCCACATTGGTTGTCTAAGAACTTGTGATACCACCCCGTTACCTATGAACCCGGAACAGATCAAAACAATCCAGCGACTTCTAACCAACACGTCGATCCGCATGCAAAGGGATCCTCCAGACAAGTGCTGGTAGTCAACTGTTCTGCATAGCGTACCATTCGAATTATCACCACTATTACCTTGATTTGTCAAATTTTATACCAGATTACGTTTACTGAGTAGTAGCCTTCGAAATACTCGTCACCCTGACTTCAAAACGGTTCACCAATCACTTCGAAGATGTAATAGAAACACTGACAAGTGAATGCAACACTACATAGGTTACAGTTGAGGTGTCTTAATTCATGCAGATGAGTTATTTTTTCCAACACATCAGCTCTTCCGGACAAAAGCATCACCACTAACACACGAGAGAATACTGAAGCTCCAACGAACCAAGTCCTCAAAATACTTGCTATGAATCACAGGCAAAAAGTGGGCATTATTTACATGTAAACGTCTCGCCGTGGAAGCATCCTGATAAGTCGCTACATACATGCAGTGGCAGAAGTATAGAAGAAAAGACGCAAAAATTGGTCGTTTCAGAGTATGTCGAAAGCATGTAACTCAAACTATTAGGAACAAATTCGAATGCAGAGAACTTGTCAACAAACCTCCGAACCTCTCTCCATTCGGTAGACAAAAGGATAATGCCCCGACGATTGGATGCAGATAACTAAGCTGAAGATTTGGAGGAGCAACATTTAACACCAGATCTACGATCTGATTTGGTAGTAGTGGGTGGATAGGTATCCTGCCATCTACGCCGATTGGAAGCCAGAGAACTTGACCATCGTCGACAGACACACTATTCAGTTTGGCAACCGTATGGTCCAACTGCTCACAAATATAATAAAAACAATTATAAATTGGTACTAACTTCAGAACGTAAAAAGGTCCCTTCCGGCCAAGTGCAAGCGCCACAGTTTTCTATTGTAACTTTGATGACATCTCCGAGTTCTGAAGCATCATATGGCGATGGCCATATTCGCGCATCGAATTCCCTGCGATCAATTAGATTTTCCGAATCAATGCGCACATTGTCCACAGTCGCCAATGTGCTGCAGTCTGTAAGAGGGCTACTATGAGAGCAATTCACCGCTGGAGATCCTTCGAAGCTGAAATCGAAATAAGCACCAATAGCTCGCTGTAGGTTCCTTAAATATTCATACTATTAGCTGTTATTAAACTACCAATCGGCCAGTTCTAGAAAAAAACGGCAAGATTCATTCGGTAAGTCGTTACCAATGACCGCCCTGAGCTGATTGACCAATTCTTCCTTATCTGTTGTACCAAGTGCACTAAACTGCTCTAGTAATTTGGCGTCTATATCAAATGCCCCTAACTCCATAGCCAAAATCAATCAGATCCCAGCATTTGGGATATACTTTTAAGCGAACGCGTCCTCAAGGACGACATTTAACGTCCAATATCCAATATCTTTTAACGAGCTAGTGTAAAGCGATTGATTTCTTCGCGCTCACTTCTAGGTCTTGCGGGACGGTTCCAGGTCTTTGATCAGACTCGTTTCGGAAGGCCCTCCTCTTATGCTATGCTTTCTTAACTTTCAAAAGGCGTTCAGTGCCTCGTTTCAGTCATGAGGTCCGATTCCTCGGTAATGCTGTGATTTTTCAGACACTTTCAAAGAAAGCCCTCTCGACGATATCTCTAACTAGTTCCCAATGTTAATCAATCTAAAGATTACTCCATTCTTGAGGCTATGGTGCTGTCGACAGATACCTGTTCATCGCCACGTAGTTTGCCCTGGTGTAGCGAAGACGAGGGAGAGATCCTTCCCACGACAGTTGTTCCAAGAACACCAGGTCGAACACTACCAAGCCATGATTGCTTCTGCCGAGAGGGGTTTGAACCTGAACGTTTTTCATCCAGTGGGCGGTCGCCGGTAAAAAGGTGGTCCAATTTGGAGGGTTCTCCACCCGACCTCCAGAGAGTGTGGTCGCCAATATTCTCGTGCAGTCCAGCCTTTTGGATAGTGTTGAGTATGCTTCGGTCGAATTTTCGGCTTGAAGTTCCTCTGTCCTGCTCTAGATTGAGAGTTAGAGTATTAAAGTCGCCGGCATAATGACCTGGTCATATCCGATAGACGTCGCTTCGGACATTGCTTGCAGCTGTTGCCGCTTATGTTTCACGTTGCCAGTGGGAGTTCCGTAGACCGGGTACTTGGTATGCCTAGCCGTAGAGTGACATCAGACAACGTTCAGGAGCCCTGGAAATAAAGCTTCAGTAGTTCAGCCACTTTTAAGATGGTCACTTATGAATATTGCCACTTCACCTCCTTCCATAAACTCCCTGTCTCTCCTGAACAGACCACACCACCTATGCTGGTTTCGATGTCACTAATATCCGGTGATAACGAAGTTTCTGTCAGGATCATGGCCTTTAGAGCGATGCAGGAACAGAGAGATAGTAATTCCCCTGTCTTACTTCTAAGTCCCCCCACATTAAATACGCTTGGATATGCTCCCAACAACGTGGAGTGTCTTGGTGGTGGCAGACTGAAGGGGTTCGTGTGCAACGGCGAAACGTGCTACAGGACGGCAAGCTCCAGTGGACATGCCCAATTATGTTTTCTCCCATAGCGGTTTCCAAGGATTTTGTAGAGTCTAGGTCAACCTGGATAACTTGTCTGCTGACAGTGATGGTTATTTCAGCGATAGATGGGGCTGTCACTTTCTGCTGTTGCAAAGTCCTGGGCCTGCTTTCACAGCGACGAACGTGCCCACCGACGTATTTTGCTGCTTACCGAATTTGCGGTACTTTGGTTGAAAGCTCTTGGCACCCGAAGTTAATGGCCATCAACCTGAGTGATGTTACAGTTGTCAGGTGTGTGCGATGTGACAGCCACAGATCACCACCGCCACCGTCCTACTTAAGCCTATCCTCGCTGATAACCACTGCCATTGAAGGACGTCGTGAGCATAGTTCCTTACTAACTTACCGGTTGTTAGTTTCGGTATGCCGTGAACAACCATGGCTGTTGGTTTCAGAGTGTGGATGCCTCGACGGATGCTTTCCTCGCTGACCATGGCCGGTCTGGCCTGACCCCAATGCTGGATGACCGGTTGATGATCAGCTTATGTGATGGCAGCGAGAATCTTTCCGCTTACTTAACTGAGCTCAGGGTCACTTTCATCGGCGTGAGCTTTCCCTGAGGTGAGCAGCTGACTTTGCAGAGCCGGCACAGCTCTGCCTCTAAGCTGCCCAGCCTTAGTATGGCGCATACCGTTTGCCACTGCTATTTAGCAAAGGACTCTCTTTTCTCATGACACACAAGGGCGTAAAGTAGGATGGTGGGGTTCCATCTGTCACCAACATCTCTGTTGTCGTGTATTGTGGGTGGTTTTCGTCGGAAGGGTGCACCTTCTTTCCCACCGTCAACCATTTTTCCCGATGTGCAGTAGGGGTAGCCGTTAAAGCGACCTCAGGGTTGGGGGCTAATGTGGTTGGTCTTGTCTGTTCGTCGTTTGGGCCTTTTTGGACTATTCATAGGTGTGACTGCCCGGGGAACGGTGCTAACACCCTCGTCACTTGAACTCAGGATAGTGGCCTTTGTGGATGCCGGCATAGCAGTAGCCACTGTGGTGTCTTTTAGGACCTCCTTAGGCGGGCCTGTAGAAAAGAGTGGCCTAATACGGAACTGTGGGAGAATGTCCTCATCATGCTGACTATGTACCTACTTTTCCCAGATGTTACACTCAAAAGCAGCATCCTTTTTGGCTGCGGTGAGACTGCATTTATGACAGTCATCAGTTTGACCTGAAGCCTTGGTCATAAACTTTCTTCTCCCCCTCTTCACCTCTCATTAGTAGGCTTCACAACTAGATTAGGGCTTGGGCTGGTGGCACTAGAAAGACACGTCCTTCGATGAACTAAAACACAAGAGTTCAGAGGGACAGGAATCCGACTTTTCACAGGAAGCGGTATTTGTGACTGTCCTCCTGTGGTCGGCCCGTGATCTCTTGAGGTGACATCATGAATACATATTTTATTCTCCAGTTATTAATTTAACGAGGGAGAGGTTAGTTCACAAGCATCATCAGATTGAAATGATGCAAAGCCTACAGGATTTTACGCTACCTTTATTTCACGGAAAGGTCAATAAATTTGATTGAAAATATAAGAACACTCTATAGCGTCGCGCGCTCCCCCAAAAATCAGTAGTCTAGGGTTTGATGAGATTCAACATTGATGCTGACCTTGATGGTTTAACTGAACTCGCTAAGCTGAAGGCACCCGGTCAAGCATCCTCGCCATTTGGTACGCTGTCGTGTTACGTTGCACTGCTCGTATTCCACTCTCTAGCCGGTTAGCTGGAACGCATCGGTATCTCGGCACAACCATCCAAATGTACTATTCCATCCGACTAGGCTATCGTGTTCTTCCTTGGTCTGGTACTCGTGGGTGTATAACAAGTCCGAATAATTCGTGATTGGTCTTTGCGTCTGTATAGTTCGCACCGGGACAAATCCTAAATTGGTGAGCCCGACGTGATCATATATCCCGACCAATAGCAAACACTGGATTGGTGAGCCTGTTCCATTTTATATTTGTATATTGTTTTCATTTCGATAACATTTATATATCCATTTGCTACACTTTCTCATGTCCGACCACACCCCCGAGCTTATTCCTATTAAGTCGACTGCGAACACGATCCAACTCGCGCCATATTGGCCAGACAATACAGGAACATGGTTCCTGTGTGCCGAGGCAGATTTTCGAGAACAGGGTGTCTCAGATCCTCATTCTCGATTTCTTGCCGTCATGCGTTCACTATCGCGGGAATTAAACAGACATTTTACAGCACACATCGTTAGTCCCAAAGCAAGTGATACCTGTGCACTTCTCAAAGCCGCACTCTTGAAGAAAAGTGACCTCACAGATCGCCAGTGCCTAGAAGAATTACTTCGTAACATCTAGCTTGGCGGCCACTCAGCTGCTGAGGTCCTCGCACGCATGCGAGAAGTTATGGGTACACGAACATTCGACGATGGCCTTTCCCGAGAACTATTACTCTCGAAACTACCACAACCGGTGCAAACCATGTTGGCGACACTTCAGTCAGTCCCGCTCGATGACCTGGTGGCCTCGGCAGATAAAATACTGGAGATCTCTAGCAGACCCGTCTCCAACGTATATTCTGTCTGTGGCAAACCAGAGGACCAGGATTCAGAGGTGACCAAGCTGCGCAACTCAGTTAAACAGTTGCTACGATCTCAAAGTCCTAGATCACGCAGCACTTCACAGAAATGCATCTTAGCGCGTCGCAGCAACTCGTATGGTTGCCCCAAAACTAAACATAACAGGGTGAAAAACCCTGAGTGTTGCTGGCTTCATTATACTCGCGGAGACGAAGCCGGAAAATGTCGGAAACCACGCAGTTTTAACAAAGACACAAACTCGGGAAACTGTCACACCGGCGAGTGTTCACGGCAACCGTAGCCGGCGGAAACAGCCGTTTGCTCCACGTCACGGATATTAAAACGAAAGTTCGCTACCTCGTCGACACCAGCGCAGAAATTAGCGTTCTTCCCGCACCGACAAAGGAGCGTCATCATGACCCATCCTTCAATCCCCGAGCAGCCGACGGCAAGGCAATCGCGACGTTTGGGAGCCGGTACGCCTACCTCAACTTAGGTTTGTGTGAACCTATTCACTGGATTTTCCTCCTGGCTGACGTTTCTACGCCAATCATTGGCATAGATTTGCTAAACCATTACGATCTACTCGTAGGTGCTCGCTGTCGACGTCTGATAGATAACAACACGAAGTTATGTATTGGCAGCACCATCTATATAGGTCCGAGTTTATCCCTCGTTAGAACCAAACAATCAGGCGACGCGTCCTACCAAGCAGTTTTGGAGGAATATCGAGAGTGGCGACAGCCGAAGCATACTCTTCCGTGCATAACCAGCAATGTTATGCATCACGTCACAACCACGGGTCCACCTGTGGCATCCAAAGCACGCCATCTAGCCCCCGATAAGCTGAAAACGGCGAAGAGCGAATTCGACCACATGCTCGAACTGGGCATTATCAAACCGTCAAACAGTCCTTTGGCATCATCGTTGCATATGGCCACCAAAAAGGATAGCAACGACTGGCGTCCAACCGGTTATTACCGAAGGCTTAACGCCAAAACAACACCGGTGGATAGCTCAATTATCGAAATTCTTGACGATGTGCCTGGTAATGCACAGTTACAACAACCATCGGCGCAACAGAAAATACGATCAGGTCGAAACGTCAGGTTTTCGGAGTATTTAAAGTCGTATTCAACTTAGCGGCGTGAAATAAGATGTGCCAACCATACATTTTTACCGACAAATTTTTTTCCCGAGGCATTATTTTTCTTATTTACCGGCGATGCGAAACTCCTCGTATATTTCTCCTTTTTATGTCAATTTTTTATTACCATGTAATGAAATTTTTTTTAAAAAACGGTAAAAATAAGCATAAACTTTATTTTCGATATGTTCGTATATACATA